TCCCACCAGTAAAAGGCAGCATGTTCAGTGTGCAAAGCTTTAGTTTCAAGGGGTGGCACTAGAGTTGGCAATTTCAGCACCGCCATTAGGGCTGGGTATCGCCACTGGTTTCTTGAATCGATTCGATTTCTGATTCAATTCGATATCGATTCTATATCGATTCCATTGGGGATGTTTCAGTTACAACATCAACTTTTGCTGGTGTGTGAAAGATTCTGAGAGAGCTAATACTGTGAATTTTACACAGAATTGTTTTAAAAAATAATAAATTCAGAACAGGAATAAAACAGAATATTTTGTAACTAAATGTTTCTAGAGCAGCAACAGTTATATTGAAAGAGCAAAGTCACAATATAAACTCAATCTATCACTAGAAACATTTCTAAAATGTCAGCATATAAATCATATTACTGACATCACAGTACTGAGTGAAGTTTAGACAGAATAAAGAACACAGACATCAGTCAGTATCAGTCCTGCTGCCATCTCTGCTCCTCCCTCTGCTGCTGAGGAGAGTCACTGTCTGCAGGTAACATTACTGTTGGTAAGTTTTAAGATACGTGGCAAACAAAGCCAAACCATAAGACATAAGCAGTTGTTGTTTCAGCTTGTTATTAACAATTTGCTATTGGATGGAAAGCGCTCTGTGCTTGTTTAAAACATATATTAGTGGCAGTGGATGAGAGACTGCAGACAGAACAGATTGAAATATCACTTTTCTACATGTTTAGATGTTGCTCAACAGGTGTATTGATAAAGTCCAGACTTTTTCAGGTGTTTTTTTTGCATTTACAGTAACAAGCGTTAACTCTATGATCTCCATCACCACATCTGCTGCAGCATAATAATAAATTACACCAAATCATATACACGTAAGCTAACAGTTACAGATAAAACGGCTGTCAATAATTTAGCACCATGGCCCGTTTACTACCGGCAAGATTAACAAGGTTAAAGCTTCACACAAAAGCGTATATTCAAAGATCGATTTCAGATTTTATGAAGCGATATTAGGTCATTCAAATGGACATCGATTTGAATCAGATGAATCTATTATTTTAACACAGCCCTAACCACCATCATGTTTTACAAAGGTTTGCCCTCTGCCATGCCATACAACAATGATAGCAATCACTTCACATCCATACAGGATTGGTAGTTTACAAGTATTAAAGATTATCTCTAACACAATGGTATCAGATCGGTACTAAATTTTGGCCAATATGCAAATTCAGGTATTGGAATCAGGAGCTGAAGGGAAAAAATTCAATTGGAACATCTCTAAAGTGGAGTCCACACTTTATTCTTGAGGGAACATTGCAGCAGTTTGTCTGAAATGCTCTCAGAGAGGGAAGCACGCAGCATGAGGGAGGAGAGGATCAAAACCATTTCTGGCTTAGGATCCTTCTCATAATTTCATCATGTGAAGGATTTTATCTATATCTGTATTTTTCATCCTGCCTTAGTAATTTGTGTCTTTAACGTGGGTCGTATCTTTTCTCTTTTTACAATATGTGAGGAAAACACACAATGCGGTTCACAGTGTGGGATAAAAAGTAAATGTACACATGAACAGATAATGCACATCCTGCTGATGTCTATTTCCTGTCACAATAATGGAAACCGTTGATCAAAAAACAAAGAATAGCTCTCCATCAAAGCAGCAGGTTGAAAAGGGCCTTGCTCTTTTCCCCTCAAAAAGAAAAGATATGGAAGGACCATCCATTTTCCTCAGCTGCTAGTGAAGGTTATGCGGTGCCAGGGAGGCATGGGCTAACCATGAATCAAAGAATGACATACCAGGCCCCCAAATGAGCTCATTCTTTATAGCCCAGCACCTTATGGCGATAAAACATTTGGGAGGGACTGAACGGTGGAAGGTGAATGGAAAAGCAAACATTGAGTACTTACCAACAGATGTCTCAAACACAACTGCAGGGATCATTACCACAATGACTCATGTATATACTTGGGCAATGGCTTGATGCATTCACATTACACAAGTGAATTAATTAGTTTGCATAAGGATAAGCTAAAAGCAACAGCACTGTGTCAGTGTACACAGGCAGAGTAACAGATATGGATGATATACTTCGGACATGAACAGACACTAAACACATAATAACCAGCTTTGTGTTTAAATTTACAACTTCTCCATTTTTTGCAAAACTGAGCTGATGCTGATGATCACAGCAAAGGGAGCACGCAGGGAGGAAAACCACAGTCTCAGTGATTCAGATTCCTCAGGGAGTCCAAATCTTTGTGTCATTTTGTCAGAAATACTGAAAGCATGTTTTTTTCTTCACCTTCTCATTATATGATCCACTAAGGCAACAAGGCTCTTTGTGTCTTAACATCTGCCTTCAAGGATATCTGTCCTCGCTGGCAACAGAACCAGCTGAGGTGGTGGTGGACACACAGAGAGGGAGCCAGCTCCACAGTTTACATTATGCTGACTGTAACTGGACACTGAAGTATGGGGAAAGGTATAACCTTATCTTTATGGCGTGCCAGAGCAAATTAAGCCCTGAACTCCTGCATAGGAAGAAGCAATATTTTAATGTAAGTGGGGTGGTTAAAGCCACTGGGAGGCACAAGGGGAGGATGAGGAGCCTTACAACTAATCTGAACCAAACGTCCCTCTAGGTCCCAACCTGCCACGGAGATACAGAGGTGGAGACATGTGGTAATTATCTGGCTAACAGGATGTAGACTGTGGGTATAAGCCTGCCAGTGGCCGCCTATTTCAGAGAGAATTCTCGTTGCATTACCATTTACAAAGTCCCCATTGCTTTGTCAAACTAGCCAGATGTATCTCCAGACTTTGTTCTAGCACTGTGAATGAAACAACAACCACAAAGCTAGCAACCAACATTCATAAACATCTTTAATGTATTATCTTTTGCCTGGATTTAGCCATTGTAATGCCAGGGATCTCCTCCTCACATGTTCCACCAAAACAATTTCCCTCCCAAAACCATTTTGCAACAGTACCACCACTGCACCCTAGGCTTAGCGCCGCCCAAGAGGACTTTGTGTTTAAAGAACTACAAATAACCCAGAGCATTTTTCCCTTAGTGTGGAATTATGATGGGTTTAGCCAGACCTTTCTGCAGCACTGGCACAGCATGAGATAGGTCTGGCTATGCGAGACTGTGTGGTTACTTGTGTTCGGAAATACAAGCTTTCAAATGAAACTCTTTCTTCTATCTTTGGTTTCAGCAAAGAGCAAGCCCAAGCAGTTTCGGAGCCTATAAACCTGACAAAATGAGTGAAAAATGGCAACGCGGTCTGTTTATGTAACAAAAAAATAAAAGAAAAGCATGTTTTAAACAAAGTACAGGCTTGCACGTTTGGTTGTTGTGAAGAGTTGAGCCCTATTTTTCTAGTTTGGGTGACATTCAAATATTTTTCAAAGGAGCCTTTGAATAATAGTGTCAAAAAACGCAGCCAAAATAAGAATGTTTATGAAAAACTTGACATTTTGGAAATGCAAGGGTTTCACCTGAGAACATCAATTTGTACTTAAGTAGTTTTGAGCCCCCCTTGGTGGCCCTTAGGGGCCCTAAGCAGCCTTGGGCCAGCTCTGCTTTAGTACACAGAAGCACACCAAACATTCATCTCAAGACACAGCACCAAAACACATTTTCAAAGATGCTTTGCCGAGAAAAAAGCAACCGGCAATGATAATCCAACTGATAGCATTTAATGAAATGTGATTGACCTGGTGTTTTCTACAGCATCAGGGATGATCAGATCATGTCTTTAAAGAAGAGCGTAAACCAAATTAAGAACTCCAATTTGTTGTTTCCATAGCCTAAGAAAGTTCAAACAATAGTTGTAAACATGAGCTACTCTCTCTGGAAGCCAGAAACCAAAGAAGCAAGTCTCAAACTTATGATGTCATCAAGTATACAGTCTGGAGCTGTTCTGCAGACAATGAATGGGAATTTGTGAACCCACAGAATGAGCTATAAAAACTGTCCTTTATTCTAGTGTAGTGATCTCAGCTCTGACACAGCAAATGTACCCTATACTCAAAATACTCTCCTGGGTGCTCTAAGTGTCATCTACCTTTGCCAATTCATTGTCTATGAAGCAGTTTCAGACTTCAAACTAGAGTTTTTGCACTCTGGTGTTTGGATTTTGCAGAAAGTTGCTCATGTTTACTACTATTTTTTGACTGTTTTTTTGACCACATGTATAGTTCCCCTTTATCACTTCAGTCCATATGCACCAGCACAAACTATCACCACCATCATGTTTTTAAGAGCCTTAATAAAATGTGACCATAATGTTTTGAGACATCAAAGGAGAACTGTGTATTCCCTTGATTATCGTGATCTCATGAATGAGTAAACAGACGCATGACACAGAAGCACATCCTACAATCACAATACTGAGCAGTTCCAGATGGACTACACCCAAATTCACTTGTCAGGGCTGACAGGGAATTTCACTGGAATATTTGCACTTCCAAATAAGTTACATGTAAAAGGGGGGCAAACTTGCCCAGATCAAATATTGGACTATTTAAGGCTTGACACAAGAATGTGAGCTTTTCACTTTTCCTTTCAACACACCGTCACCACAGCCTCAGTTTATAGAGACAGCTGCTAAACAGGGAGGCGCGGCTCACCTCCGTCAACACCGTAAAACACCAACATGGCACTTGTACAGAAAATTAACTTGAACTATTTTAATTTTGTCTTTAGCGCTTAATAGTTAATAAAATCTTTAAAAAATAAACTACGCTGCGGTAAGTTTGACAGTAGCTACACCAGCGCGTGCACAATCAGTTAATGAGCTACACGCTCGCGCGCACTTGTTCTGATACCAACGGTAGACAGTTAAACGGCGGTTGACGCAGTATAAATGCCAATTGCTAATCAATAACACGAAAACAGCACATCAATTAAACTTTTTCCACGCTGAAACCCATTCATAAGTGAATTAAATTCCCTACAACAGAAGTACAGTGTGGAGTAAACGTCACTTACCGATGTGTTTCAGCGGTGCCTTCCACGTGCGGTCCACAGATCCTTGAGTTAATGTCTCCAGCTGCTGTCACAGTTGAGCCACTTTGAGCAGCCTCTTCCTCGTTGTTAGCTGTCTCCTCACACTCAGCGGTGGCATTTCGTGTTTAACATCGCGTCGACTTCACTTCTACGACAGTTGCTGGTTTGGAAGCGGCGGGAGGAGAGTTTTGTTTTCCCTGCCTGCCGTTTGCTGCGCAGAGACCGTCTGTCTGACTGCGGCTCTGTATGCGCGTGTGAGTGTGTGTGTGTGTGTGTTTGGATGGGAAACCAGTAGCAGGTTCCCAGACACACAAACTCCCCCGCCAATCACGTACAGTGTCACACTATCACGTAAGCAAGCAGTTCACATCTGCATGTCATGACTCTTTAAAGTGTATACAATGCACGAGCTGGTTAATTGTTATAAATGGAGGCTTTGAGTGGATGTTTATGGGCTATAGTTAAGTCCTAAAACGTTTTTAGCACCATTTTCCATCTATGACGTCTTATAATACCAGTCTGGTTAGAGTTTTTAGTCTCAAAACTCAAAGACAGTCCTTCCCAGAAGATTTTTTCTTCATGAAAAAAGCAGAGGCCATTAACAAGGACACTATACAAACATCACATAGTCCTAAGCTACATTAGCCTGCAACTGTAAGAGGCAATAGGTACATACAAAGATAAAGATATGATCTTTTAAATAAGGTTACTGTTTGCTAACTAACAGGTTATATTAACAGTGACAGGTTAAAGGGACAGCATGCCACCAAATCAGTAATAATAATAATAACTAGTCCATACCCATTGAGTGCACAGTTGCCCATGTACAGTTTCACATGGTGTGTGTTTGGGATACAGGTCATAGGAAATTGCAGATTAAATAGTCAACTGAACCCATTAAGAAGAGCAATGCATTCAGACAGTTTTGTTACTTTGATAGTACGATTGCAGCCACAGCGATCTATCGCATTTTAGCCATTTTTCTGTTGTTATAGCGCCACCCAGTTGGCAATTAAAGGTAAATTTCTCCAGTCCTTGTCTGATGAAGGGCAGGGGCCCGAAACGTAACATGAATAAATTGTTCAAGGAGCAGCTTCTGGTGTGCGGACTTTATCTTTTATTCCATACTTACCTTTTGGTCCAGCACCCAGCATTAAGTTTTTTGGGATGTGCGTGCTACTTTTACCTGTTATTAAATTTCTCCAGTCACCTTGAGGTGTCCTGTATCTACTATATCATATCTACTAAGTTTAGTAAAAATCGATATGGCGGTTAGGCCTAGATAAGAAATTAGCTCTCTAGCGCCCCCATTTTGTTTGATCAGGTCAGTAATGGAGGGGTCCCCTCAGATTATGTGTGGTCATATGCCTACAAAGTTATTCATTGCCTTACAGAAGCTCAGTTTTAGTAAGTTTTCCAACTTTTGCCAAGAGGGAACTTTAGATATTGGTCCCTAGATTATGTTCACCAAGTTTCATGCAGATCGGTGATCTGAAGAGATCGATTTTAAGTGTTTGTTCCTCATGAGGAGAGGCATCTCTGTGCAAAGTTTCATGTCTTTTTGACATACGGGGCATGAGATATGCCCATTCAAAGTTTGCAATTTCAATCGGTTGCTATAGCGCCCCCCTTTGGCCAATTGATGTAATATTGCTTCATTCGCATCCTCCCATGACCCTCTACCACTGTGCCAAATTTCATATGGATTGACCAAGTCAGTGAGGAGAAAAACATGGAACAGACACACACACAGACACAGTGTTTTTGTTAGTAAGATAATGCAGTTTATTTATAGGTGCCTTTCAAAGCACTCAAGGACACCTTACAAGACACATTTAAAAAAAGAAAAAACACACAAATCTATGTATCCATAGATCATAAAATCAAACAGTTCCATAATATAAAATAAAAGTTAATAAATGACAAGACAAAATTGAATTATAAATATTAAAAAAAATCATCATCATCATAAAGTCATCATATGTGTGTCTCTATCACATCAGACCAAATATGCCAGCTTGAAGATGGGTGTTTTCAGATGGGATTTGAAGGTGGAAAGGGAGTCAGTATTGTCAATGGCAGGGAGAGAGTTCTAGACGTAGTCAAGTAGTCAGATAGTCAAGCAGGCAGATGGCAATTTGAGTTGGATTGCAGAAGAGGATCTAAGAGTATGGGAAGGCGTGTAGATACATATGTAAATACATGTTTTCCTCTGTAGTGCTATTTATCAATCTAGATTGCTTTGGTGTGAGTTGCCAAAGTTTGGAGATAGGCAATCGGCTGTAGAGATGTCTGCCTTATCTCCAGTGGTGTAGTGGAGAGTATACGCAGGTATACAGGGTGGGAATCACAAGAGGATGAACAGAATACTTACGGTACAAGATTACTGTGATTTTAAATATGTTGCGATACGCTGAGTATTGCGGTATCCTCCCGAGACCCTGTGTCCTCATATGTGGACATCACATTTTGGGTTTACTTGACCTTATACTTTATTCTTCTTAACTTAGACCTGTTGTCCTTGTTCATGGACACTTTTTTTGTGCAATCTAGTGGTAGTAACAGCACAATACACTAATCTATGTAAAAGCAAGATGGCAGCCAACTCTTATGATCTCTCTATTATGTTTGTAGTTTGATATGGCAACAAATTTGACCAATTTAAGCTACAGCAACAAGCTAAGACACTGTTAATTAGTAAGTACTCATTTGAGGGCATTGGGACTTTATTATCATTGACAATGTTAAGGTTTTTGTACATTTCTGGTCCTACTGATGCCAAATAGGAGAAATTTAAAATGCATACCAAACAAAAGTTAGGTCCTCAAGAGGATATATTGTGGCGAATTACCTTTTTTCAACTGTAAATTATGTCACCAGAAGAAAACGTTGTCAACATCTGTTCTATCTAATAAGGTTAAGCTAGCTAATGTTACAGCTCAGCCGAGGAGGATGCCATTAATGTTTTTATTTAGCGCTGTCACTCGTCCATGAGTAGATGCACACTACTGTCTAGGCAATGATATGTTAGGTGGGTTAAGCTTGGTAGAAAATACATAGTTCCTAGAAACTGAACAAGAAACTGCTCACAGCAACACTGGACAACTCACACAAACATAATCCATACTGACACAGAAATGAGGGAAAACATGTATTTTTTATTTTGGGGTGAAGTGTTCCTTAAAGTTTCTATGGGAATATTAGGTACTGGACTAAAATGGTAGCAAAAATATATTTTTTATGTTTTTTATTACCGAGTCTCTGTGACTCAAACCTTTAATAGCTCTGATTATAGTGGGCGTCCCACACAATAACTCAATGACCATGTTCAGTAGCGAGGGCATTCCCAAAGGTCACCATTAAATAAAAGTTGTGTAACTTTTCTGAATTACTTGTTTCAACAGTTCTGTACTTCCAAGGACTCATAAGAAAGACACTCTGAGTCCTTATAGGGGTATTGCAGGATGACATTGGTGAAAAGTACTTGATGAGATCAGTGGCCACTAAACAGTGACTTTAAGTCCGTAGAAGGATATACTGTAATAGGACTGTTAAAGGTAATGTTTAATCGTTGTTACCACCCCGTCTCTGTGACTCAACCCTTAAATATCTCTGATTTTAGTAGGCAGCTTCCCACATTATGAGTGGGAAGAGTACTAGAGCATTCCCCATGGTCACCATAAAAAGTAGCTTAACTTCTCTGAATTACTTGTTTAGACAGGCCTACACGAGCAGCACATTTTCCAATAGCTCACTGTGGTAGGTATCAGTGTTCACTCTGTCCTGAACTGCCAGCAGCAGTTTACTACCATCTTTTGTTTCTTTAGCCATGCCAACAGAAATTTGCTCCCTGGGAATTCACACACACAGAGGCAGTGGAATCGTGTCTGTATAATGTTTTGCTTGGCTGGTTGCAAGTCATCCAAATTCCCCCCGTCTAATTCCTCTCCTGGTAGATTTGGCTTCTTTCATAAGCTCTGTCTTCATTTTGAGCAGACTTGGACACCGTCGCTGCCTCATCTGAGATAGTTCAAGTTTTATGTGCTTCTGTTTCTTTGCCTCTGGGTCCCTGCAGCTGATCATTAACATGTTGCAGAGGGGAAATGATGAGCATTTAAGCCATCATTATTTGTCATGTTCAGCAAAGGGCCAGTTGTACTGCAGCAGATGTCCGTGATATTAAATGCATGATAAAGGATAAACAAATCCACTTGTGGCTTACAAACAGCAGCCCTGTAATCAAGTATGAATGTTTCTGATTTCCTTCAAAAATCTCATTCAAAACACTCTGCAGGAGTTTGTCTGGCGTTATATTTCCGTGCTATAGTAATCTGTTGCAACACCAAAGTAATTGTAAGGTGTCACTGTGGGCCCATAAGACCAGCTGTATTAATTAACTGCAGATGTCACTCAGTTTTTCACTTATGAATAAATTAGTTTACCAGCGAAAGCTCCTAGATAAAATATTCCCAAACAGAATCTCACTTGGCAGTTGGCACACCGATAATCAAGTATGGAAGTTCTTTATTCCTGCAGCCCCTTGACGCTTCCTCTGGATCATATTACCATTTGTCTGGCTTTGTGATTCCACGCTACAACAATCTGCCCAACCATCTGCTAGAGCATGTGGAAATAGTTCATTTCAAGAATTTAGATTTGAAAAATGTTTGCTGAGTCTTCTGAGACTTTTCCTTTACGCTTACCTTCAGACAATCTGCTTTGATTTACACACTTCTGTCGAGATTAAATTTAGACATGGAGTGTTTTGCTGCTATGGCTGCAACACCGCTGGGACAGCAACAGGAGAGTATTGGATACTATGACAGTGTAGAAATACTGAACTGTACCTCTGCGCTCCCCCCCACATGAGCAAAGACTTTTACTGCTGTAATGAGTCACTTTTTCCAGGTTAAGGGAAAAGCAGACAGTGGCCAAAGGGGAAAAATAATGCATACACACACACATGCAACCACATAGGAGCACACAAGCAGAGAGGGTTAAAAGGGCATTTGCTGTTTCCTGCTGGAGAGTTTGGGAATTCAGGCAGCTGGGTCTCTCTCGGGAAAAGTGGGTCTGATGAAAGAAGTGAAACACGGAATCCAGTCAAGGTTTTGTACTATGTGGTACTACCAGTCTCAATAACAGTCTGAAGAATGATTGCCCAACAGATATGTTGAAAGCTTGACACTCGTTGCTCAATTTAATGCTGAGGTTAGCTTTTGGATGCATGACACACCACAGAGGCTGTAACAT